AGTCATCATCATAACCCCCTCTTTGCCGCCCCCGACCCTCGGCGCCGCTGCACCGCTGTGCCCGGGCACGCCGCGCCTGGTCGCTGCACGTGGGCCCGCCGCCGTGGCCGCCAAGCCTGCCGCGGCGCCTCTGGGCTTAGGTCGGGCGTGTCCCCCTGCAGGGGAATGGACGAGAAATGCAGGAAGAAGCCCAACATCTTTTCGAAAATATCAAGAGCTACGAAGCAATCGTCCCCAGACCATGTTTTGACTACTCTTGACTTTCCCTCCTGTAGAGAGGAAGGCCCGACTTAACACTGGGCCGTCGTGGCCGCCGTCCGAGCCTCCACCTCGCTGGAGGCCTGGCGGCCTCGGCGAGGCGCGCCGCCTCGACGCCGCCCGCGGGGGCCCGAGCCCGCCGAGGGTGCGCTCGCGCTCCGCCAGCCCGCGCCAAGCGCGCTGCGAGCGGCCGCCATGCCCGCCCTCAGGCGGCCGCTGGGGTGCTCGTCGTGTGGCTCCTCGCTCCGCTGCTGGCCCCTGCCGAGGCCGTGCGCGCCGCGCCATCGGGCGCTCGCCGTCCGCGCCGATCTGCTCGTCGCCCCGTGGCGCTCGAGGTGCTCCGGCCCTCGTCGTCCAAGGGGCCTGCCTGGCGCTGGCCGCCCGTGCCGCTCGCCTCGCTGTCCTCGAATAGAGGCGTCCGGCATGGGGTTCGAACAGGTGGCGTCGGAGAAACTGGCTGCATCGCCGATGCGTCGCCGACGCATCGTCCGTTCCTGCGCCCGAGATCCTGGTCACACAAACGCACCGCAGGAAAGGTCCGGGGAGTCGCGGTATGGGCACCTCTCTGCCGCCCGCGACCCACCGCGCGACCCGCCCGCGACCCGCCCGCGACCCACCCGCGACCCACGCGCGACCCACCCGCGACTCACCCCAGGGCCCCAGGAGTGACCTTTGGTGCGCGGCTTTCGGGGGGCGCAGGGGGGGGGGCCGAACTTGAGCACGCAGGCCGCTGTTTTCGCGTCGCGTGCGGAGATCGGCAGGCTGCGCACCAGAGGCCCCTCCTGCCCTGGGTCGTGCTTGCGGACGACCTGAAGGTGAACCTCCCCTTCCCCTTCTCCACCGCCTCCTCCCCCCGATCCCTCCACTGCCCTCTCCGACGACTTCACCCTCTCTCTCTCACTGTATCTTTCTTTGTCTCTCTCTCTCTCTCTTGCTCTCCGTGTTTTTGTTCTCTCCCTCTCTTTCTCTGTCCGTGGCTCTCCTGTCTACTTCCGGATGCCTCCTCCTTCACTCTCTCCGCCCTTCCCTCCTCCTCCTCCTCCTCCTCCTCCTCCTCCTCCTCCTCCTCCTCCTCCTCCTCCTCCCCCTCCCTCGTGTCGCAGCCCGATGGAGCGCCGCCTCCGAAAGCGGATCGGAGCCGGGCCCGGGCCTCCGCCGCCGGAGTCGTCGGCGGCGCTCGCGAGCAGGAAGTCCTGCGCGGCGCGGCGGGGGAGTGGAGAGCCACGCGGCTGGGTTGACTACCTCCTACCAGACCACCCCAACCCAACCCGAAGACCCGATTTTCGGGTTGGGGGGGGGTAAGGGTTCCACGCGTGTTTTTTCGTGGTTTCCCGACCCCCCCCCAACTAGAAATCGAGGGTAAAGCTGAGCCTTCGGGTTGGGTTGGGGTGGTTTGGTGGGTGGTGACGAATAGCATCCTTCCTCCGCCGTCCCCAAGCTGGGGAGCACCCGAGGATGCCTTCCCGCAGGACGCACACCAGCATCCGGCAGACACAGAGAGCATGCGGGCAGTCTCCCCGAGCCGATCTCGATCATGTACCTTGGTCCAGCTGTAGAGGTGTTCTAGAGTAAGCAGTGAAAGAGACGTCCTAAGTGGGAGAGCGGCGTGGTTTTGGGCGGGGAGTGAGGGAGGGAACGCAAACTGGCTGCGCTCGCGCCACATCTGGCATCCCGCCCCTCCCACCCATCCCTCACCGCCGCGTTGACGTTTCTCTATCCGCCGACGGGTGTCATGGCGTATTGATGATCCTGAATTGTGCCACAAGGCCATCCCTGGGACTTGAACACCGCGAAAGAACATAACTCGTGCACCCTCATAAGCCTGACTCCTTCCAAAACACCATTTCTGGTACGTTGATCATGGGATCCCGTGAAACTTTTGCAGAGCTTGAAGGCTAATGTGCGCGGCGCTAAAGCGAGAACAACATTTTGACAAGGAACAACCCTCAATCCGTGAAGCGCATGTAGTCTTTAAGACGACTGTGCGCGGCGCAAAAGCGAGAACCACATTTTGAAAACGACTCGCCCTCAACCCGCGAAACTCTTACATTTTTTAAGACGAGCGTGCGCGGCGCGAAGGCGACAGCCACATTATGAATACCATCCACCCTCCATATGTGAAGCTCTTACAATTTTGAAGCTTCAGAACTATAAATGGCGAGGAAACCTCAAGCGAACCGCCCATCCCGCCCTAAAAAATTGCCCGGGGGTGCGACAGGGAGAGGTTATTTAGAAAAAGAAAAAATGGAGGAGGAATAAGAGGAGGAGGAAGAGGAAACGGAGGAGGAGAAGGACGATGAGGAGGAGGAGGACCAGTGTAAACCCAAGAGTCATCAACGATGTTGGAAAATACCCTCCCTCCAAGCTCCCTCTTCATAGGGCCCTGCAACGGCTCATTTTCATTGAAAGAACTGTCTCTTGGAAAGAAAACCGTTTGAGGACCCTGAATCATGCCAAAACATTGTTCTCTGGATTCCAACGCCACGGATCAACCTGGCTGTTGCGTCTTGACAATCTTGAACCGTGCCAAAAGGCCATTTCTGGGACTTCAACACAGCGAACCAAGATAACCGTTGCACCTGCATCATCCTGAATCCTTTCAACACACCACTTCTGGCACGTTGATGGTGGGACGCCGTGCAACTCTTGCACCGATTTGAAACGAATGTGCGCTGCGCTAGGGCGAGAACCACATTTCGAAAACGAACCGCCCCCAATCCGTGAAACCCTTGCAAATTTGTTAAACGAATGTGCGCCGCGCTACAACAAAACCACATGTTGAAAACCACCCGCCCTCAATCCGTGAAACTCTTGCAACTGTTTAAAACAAATGCGCGCCGCTCTGAAACAATAACAACATGTTGAAAACGACCCGCCCTCAATCCGTGAAGTTCTTGCAAATGTTTGAAGCGAGTGTGCGCCGCGTTAAAGCGAGGGCCGCATATAGGAAACGAACAGCTTTCCATCTGTGAAACTGTTGCAAATTTTGCAACTTAAGAAGCATAACTGGTGGGGAAGTCTCAGGCGAAACGCCCGGCCCGCCCTAACAACTGGCCTCGGGGTGCGACAGGGATACATTACATATAACTTAGAACGAAAAGGAGATGGAGTAGGAGGAGGAGGAGGAGGAGGAAGAGGAGGAGGAAGTAGAGGAGGAGTATGATGATGATGAGGAGATGGAGGAGGAGCAGGAGGAGGAGGAGGACGAGGATGAGGAGGAGGACGAGGAGGACGAGGAGGAGGAGGAGGAGGAGGAGGAGGAGGAGGAGGAGGAGGAGGAGGAGGAGGAGGAGGGAGGGAGACGGAGGGCCATCAAGGGAAACACGCAGTAAAGCGGCCCAAAGCAGTGGTGCCTCGGCCCTGCGGAAATGGCCGATGGTCAGGCCCGTGCCGACCTGCAGGCGGGGTGCTGAACACGAAAGCGACCAGTTCCTCCTCGTCCCCTCCTCCTCCTCGTCCTCCTCCTCCTCCTCCTCCCCTCCTCCTCTTCCTCCTCCTCCCCCTCCTCCTTCTCCTCTCCTCTTCCTCCTCCTCTTACCTCCTCCCTTTCCTCTCTCTTTTCCTCTTACCTCCTCCTCCCATTCTTTCCCTTACCTCCTCCTCCTCTCTCGTCGTCGTCGTCCTCCTCCTCCTCCTCTTCCTCCTCCTCCTCTGCCGCCTCACTCCACGTTTTTCCTCCTCATTCCTCCTCTACTGTCCCAAACTCCAACTCCTCCTCTTCTTCCTTCCTCCTCCTCCTACCAACTTCTTGCTCCTCCCTCCTCCCCCTCCTCCTCCTCTTCCCTCCTGCTCCCCTCGTGCCTCCCTCCCGACCGCCGTCTGTATCATCCCTCCTCCTCCTCCTCCTCCTCCTCCTACGTCCTTCTCCCTCCTCTTCCGTTCCCCCCTCCCTTCCCTCCCTTCCTCCTGCTCATTCTTCTCCTCCTCCTTCGTTCTCCCTTTCATACTCTTCTCGCTTCCCTCCTCCTCCTTCTACCTCCTCCCTCCTCCTCCTTCCTCTCTGGACGGGACGCGGTATCGTTAATGCTGAGGGCGGGGTGACATGAAAATACAACACGTCGCACACAACCAACCACGACCTCGTTCATGAACGCCAGAAACGGACACCAACCGGGGAGGTGCGAAGGATTAACACGTGTGGCGCGCCTCCCGCCTCCATCCTGCTCCTCCTTCGGCCTCCCTGCGATTGTGCGCCGTAGGTGTGCAGCGAGGGGGAGGCTGAAAACATACAGTGTCGTCCTCTTTTGAACACTTAGGGTGTGTTTACAATGGGTATTGCGGTGTGTATGCACGGAGAGTATTTACGGTGCGTGTTTACGGTGCGTACGTATCGTGTGGATTTGCGGTGTGAATTTACGGTTCGTAACTACGACGCGTTATTAACATGTGTATTTACGCTTCGTGCTTTCACCGTGGAATTGAGGGTACACATTGAATCATTATTCGTGCCTGGCGCTTTCGCGACGCATTTCCCTTATGCGACCAAGGGCACGTTTGCTGCTTACCTTTTCACGTTCTGCAGCGCGAGTGTCCGGTTCATGTAATCATGCTTTGTGACGTGAACATGTGGGCAAAGATGGGACGTCGCCTGGCGTTTGCCCAACGCGTTGTCGCGGCGTGATTTGACGGCGCGCGTTCTCGTTGTCTTCGCCGTTTTAGGCGCGCCTATTCATTTTCTCTGATTGTTCTGTGCTTGTGGCCATTTGCTTCTGCGATCGGTATATACGGCGCGTTTTTCATGTTGTGTACATTCGGTGTGTATGCTCGGCGTGTGTTTGCGGTGTGTGTGTGTGTGTGCTCGCGGTGTGTTTTACGGTGTGTACGTGCGGTATGTATTTCGGGTGCGCATATACGGTGCGTATGTACTGTGGGTATGTGCGGTGAATCTTTACGATGTACATTTACGGGGTGCGCATTGAAACTGACTTGCGCTTCCGCAGCGCATTTTCCCGACGCGTTTCGGGGGCGCATTTGCTGCTCATCTTTTCGCGCTCCGTGGCGCGCTGCCCTAGTTTGCCTTTATGCTTTAGTCGTCGCGGCGCGATTCGGATGCGCGTTTTCCTAGTATGTTCTCGCCGTGTGATCGGCTTTGTCTCCTTCTATTGGTTTAGCAGCTGTCCGTTTCGGTGCGTTTTACTTTTTGCTTATGGTGTGTGCACGCATTGTAATCATATCATGTGTCACAGTGTATTCCCTGCGTGCGCTTTCGGAAGGTACTGTGCTTCCTCATCCTCCTCCGCCTCTTCCTTCCTCCTGCCTTCCTCGGTGCGCGTCGCCGTTTGAAGCGCGCCGCGTTTCCCAGCTGATTTCGTTTTGCGTTTACTGTGGATCTCTATCTTGTGGGCAGTGCTGCGGAACCGCCTTGCGTTCTCCCACCGCGTTCTCGCGGCGTGATTTGGCGGCGCGCTTTCTCGTTATGCGTCCCCTGTGTGAGCCGCCCTGTTCTACTTTTTCTTCTAGGGATCGTTCATTTAGGTGCGTGGTTTCCCTTCTGTTTCTGCGGTATGGAATGGTGGCGAAATGTTCACGGTGTGCACTTTCGACATGTATTTGCGGCTTGTGTTTACGGTGTGTGTGTGTGTGTGTGTGTGTGCGTGTGTTGCGGTGTGTGCTTACGGTGGGTATTCACGGGGTACATTTACGGTGTGTATTCTGGGTGCGTATTCACGGTGTGCGTTTATGACTTCAATTTACGGCGCGAATTTACGATGCGTGCTTACGATGTACATTCACAGGGTGAACAGTGAAGCGGCGTTGCTCTTTCGCAAAACATTTCCCCGCTGCACTTCGGGGGCGCGAATTCTGCTTATCACTTGGCGTTCCGCGGGGCGTTGTCCCACGTACGCAGCGCTGTACGCATATGCGCTGTGCACGCGCGCTGTGTATACACAGACGCTGGATACGCAAACGCACTATACACACACGCTGTATACACACACGCGCTGCATACACACGCGCCGTGTGTGTATATATATATATATGTATATATATACCCATACGTAGCACCCCGCAGGTGCGGATCATAGTGATGGGGGTGATAGGGGGCGGCAGGAACGTCAGCAGTCTGGGAGGCTCTGAAGAATCCAGCCGCAGGCTCTTGAATTTTATGAATTATAGAACTAGCTCGCCACATGCGATGTTTTTTTCGTTAAAGCAATGTGGGTGGGTTGCGGGTGAGTCACAACTGGGTCGC